CTGCTTGGCTGTTAGACTGAACTCATGCAAATGATAGATATGCAAGGACAAGCTTGGCCTTTACATGGGGAATAGGGGGAAGAGCAAACATTCAGTGCTGTGGTTCTTAGGTATGTCAGACCTACTGAAGGAATATGTTTTGTCCTTGTCCTCCTTGTCAAATAAATTGTTCTTCCCTTTCTAGCCTTTTATATATCCTAAAATATTGTTTTGAAAGAAATTTTCCATGTCTATTATACACCACCTTATTTTGCTTCCTTATGCAGCATTTTGAAACAGAGTGAAATCCACTCCAGAATCAGTGGAAGAATGCACATCATTAGCACTGACTCTGTCTGTTCTTTCTTGGGTCATTTTATTGTTATTTTTCAATCAGTTATTTTAGTCTGGCTTCATATTTTCCCTCTTTAGGATTACTTTAGATTGCATCATGGACCACAATTTGGCACACGAAATCTGCCAGATTAAAATGAAACATGGTAATCTTCTGCAGCAATAATCTTCAATGATTACATACGCCACCTAGACCTGTTACAAAGACAATGTCCTCCAGTTAGGCCCTCATTCACCAAAGCACTTAAGCATGTGCTCAAATCTCATTGACTTCAATGGGACATGTTTAAAAGTAAGCGTGTACTTATGTAGTTTGCTGAACTATGGATTGATATGCCAACACTACTAGTAGAATACATTTATTTTATTTATTCCAGATTCAAATTTCTGAGAGAATGACTCTTTGTATAGGCAACTTTCCATGTACCACAATGTTTTATACCCATTTCATTTCTGTTAATTTTCAAATGTCTGGTTTTATATTTCCCTGATCAGCCAGTTTTGACCATTTGCAGTGATGACATTACAAGAGAAAAGTGGGACAGAAGTATGAGTCATTTTTGCACAGCACAGATGACTGTTGCTGTTGGATCATATTAAAGAAGTTCTGTATTAAAATCACAAATGAGTTTGATTCCCCATAGTTTAAATTCCAGGGTATTACTAATTAAGAGGTCTCTTGGTTTTTGGTACTATTTCTCTCCCTCTGTGTGTGAAACTTGCAAGCTGCTAATTGCATTAGTACATTCTAAGACAGAGTCTGTTCTCAAAGCAATTCTTTGTAATAACATGTACTCACACAGAAAGAAAAGGAGTACTTGTGGCACCTTAGAGACTATGGTGCCACAAGTACTCCTTTTCTTTTTGCGAATACAGACTAACACGGCTGTTACTCTGAAACATACTCACACAGAGAAAGACTCAAAGTAATACTCTGTAACAACAGAAACAACACCCAGAGACTCCCTGCCCTTTTGTTGTATTCATCTCGCTTTGTTAACAATTGTGATTAAAATTGAGATAGAGGATGTATGTGGATGGATGCTTGGTGTGGATAATAACTGAATGATCAGGGAGGTGCCAGCCTAAGAATCCAGTGTCCATCGGCTGAAGAAGGCGTCAAGTGGAAATAACCAGAGGACCCCCAGAGGGCAGACTGGAATCAACCCAACAGCCTCAAGAATGGGAGAACCAAAGAACAAGATAACATCTAGCAGCACGGAGCCGTCAGGAATGTGCTATCTGCTGATTGATTCAGCAACAGCATGATGAAGGAATTCCCATAGACTGGCATAGGAAGAAATTCCTATAAAAATGGACTCTAGAAAGTAAGACCTTTGGGGTCTGATTCTGCAAACCAACTTCCAAAAGCATCAGATGAGCATCTGACAAGGCCCTGCTCCCTCCTCATGTCCAGGCCACCTGGCCAGTGGCTTGACATGAGCAACTCTAAGGCTGGTAACTGTGATAACAACCTTGCAGAACCTCTGTGTGTGTGTGTGTGTGTGTGTGTGTGTGAATGAATGTGTGAATAAATATGAGATTGAGTGGAATGTTATAGCTATAACTAACTGCTTACTGTGATTCTTTCTGTATTCACAATAAATGTGGTATTTTGCCTTTTCCCCTTTAATAAGATCCTGCTGGTTTTTATTTTATTGGTATAACATTGCTAACTAGAAGATATATACACATAAATGAAACCCTAGAGGATGCTAACAGGTTGGTATCTGCAAACAGTAGAAGGATCCTGTGACAAACTGTATAATTCAATATAGACATAGTTTTGGTGATTAAATGTGATTGGCTTGTTGTGGCAAAAGGTGACAAAGAAATCAAGTCCTTGAAGATTTAGAAATTAATCCATGTTCCTCTCCATCAGTTGACATTGCCAAAAGGAGGGGGATGAGGAGAAAGAGTCACTGTTAGTCTTAGACATCCTAAAGAAACCAATTATATTCTAAATGTGTCTACTAAATGCATGGCAAAGAGATATCTTCTGAAAGATCAAATTACAGTATCGACAGGCAAATATTCCAGATAAGAATCTTATTAACATAATGGAGCACTATAATGTAACACTACTTCTCTCATTAAAAATCCTCACACAATATACACACAACAGCAACTCTTAAGAAGGAACTAAGAATACTTAGATGTGCAGTGGAGTTTCGGGGCATTGGAGGGTGAGGTGGGGGGGGGGGGAAATGAGCTCAGCTAATGAAAGATGAGCAAGAGATTCACTGTAGACCTCAAACACTGATTTCACTTGCATTTGTATTGTTTACTTCATTAGTGAATCTAACACTCTTTTCCTCTGAGTTCTATGCTTTGCTTCTTTCCAAATGATATGTTCAGTGGTCACAAGAGAGCCTGCAGCACTGATTTGTTTGAACATAAATGCTAGTTCTTCTTCCTCAGAATTATATTATGGATCAACTCATAATGCTTGTATATCAGCATACAAATCTTGCCTTTTTTTGCTAGTGAAATGTGGTTGTAAATTGTGTAATAACTAGAGACTGTACAAGATTGCTTTACACGTGTTGTGCCGTAAATTGGCCCATAAATCAGCCCTTAATAAAGAGTAATATTCTGTCTAATCCCAGCAGAGCCTCACCTCACCTCAGTCAGTTTTTCGTTAATTTCCTTTTGAGTGAGTAATTATCTATCAATAACATTCATGCTACTGCATATAACTGTATCAGAAAACAGTATCATTCCTTCTCATCAAGAAAGAAAGCTGGCCACCAATTAATATTCATGGCATTTCACCATAATAAAAAGGAAGAACAGTAGAAAAATTGCTAACAAATGCAAGACATACTTAAAGTTTAGGTTTAAAGCAAAAACAAAGGTGTAAAAAACCCATGATTTCAGGTATAACATGCAAATGAGTTTAGTCCCCTATCAATATATGAGGGAATGACACATATGGCTTCCTCTGTAGCCTCAATGCAAGTTATTCCTTTAACTTCTCTACGTATAGTAGGAGCTGTTGAAGAGAGTGTATTGCACTATGCTATTTCCCTTTACCCCATATTTCCTATACTTGGAACATGAAATACCATGACAAGCATAACGAACACAAGCAGGGGTGGTAATTATTTTTTTTTAAGGCACTCAACATACTGATGTGAGAATACAGTGGACCCCCACAGGGCAGGAGTCCATATACTTCTTTTTAATACTTCTTCTACTTCATCACAATTCTATTCCTGTTAACTCCCATCTGGATTTTAATTTGAGACTGGATTGGGGGACACACTGATTCAGCAGCCCATTTTACCACCCCCATTCAATGCATTATTCACTGGCCCCCTAAAAGAATCAAATTTTAAGTAGTGTAAGTCTTTCATTTACATATAGATGCATATATTGTATACAGAGTCCGGCAACCAAATGGCCATCTACCTTGCACTGAACGTGAAATCTAAATGAGGAGATACTCATTAGGCTACAACTGGTGTCTGTGCCATTAGGAGTTGCCCCATATTTCAGGCAACATAACTGTATAATACGTAAGGACTGGAAACATTTTCTATTAATGCCTTTTCAGTTTCTGATTGAACTGTTATTTCAAACTACATTCATCATTAACTGGTTCCAGAACAGCAAGTAGTGCTTGCATAAAGGCCTTTCCAAAAACTCATCCATAGCTCAGTATTCTTTAGAAGAGTACTAAACTATGAACTAACTGGTTAGACAGTGAAGATCAGAAGCAGGCTGCAGTATTGCCTAATATCACCTCAAGAACCCAGCTCTCAGAGCCTCTGACTCACAAAGAATACTTAATCACCTCATTGAGCTAACATTGTTTTTCTACTCAGTATCTTTGGAGCTCGTTTCATGGCTTATTTTTGAGGACTTGATATGAACCCTGCCAGATTACATACTCTGAGGAGAAAACATCATTTCCTCCATTACAAGAAAATGAATCAGCAAGTTCAACAAATATTAAATATTACTCCCATCTAACTCCTTCCTGTTTATAGCATTGTAAATTTAGCTTTCCAAATATACATGCATGTTTATGGTAACTGTGTATATTTCATTTAGAGAATGGGTTTGAGAGTCCTGCAGGCAAAGTGCCTCATTTTCTGTGAATTACCTCTTACCCTGACAGATGTGCTTAACAATCCTCATCCACATCCGCAGTTCATCCAGAATTGGGCTCATAAGGCCTAAAGGACAGATTCTCCTCTCCTACCAGTTTTGCATGGACTCTGCTGCATGTAACTCTGCTGAGTTTACAAAGGTTTACACTGATGTACATGATGAAAATCAGGCCCATAGTTTTATGTTCTAAATACTAGACACCAGCCTGCTTAGCATCTTTGTTTAACATGGCCACTTCACCTATATATCCACTGCCTTTCTACTCCTTGCCACTCCTCTCCCCATTGCAAACACACAAAACACTGATATATTTTAGAAAGCCTGATTGTGAATTGGAGATGTTGACTCTCACTACGGTATTGGGGAAAAAAAATCTGGGGATAAGAAAACGGAGAGGAAGACTGTAAAGTGTAAAGAAACCCACTCGAAGCACAGACAAAAAGGGATTTCTTGTGCATGGGCAAACAGTGCACCCGATTTAACAGCCATTTCATTTTCTGTTCAGATTTACGTGTAACATATCAAAGGAGACATCTGAAGGCATGCAATGCATAAATATTACTTTATTAAAGCAAGTATACTTCTGTTTTATCAATAAATATAAATTATGTGCTAATCACCAGAAAAATCTTGTGGTTGAGAAAAATATGTATTTTTTTTACCTGTACACATCTGCAAAAATAAAACATTTGCATAGATTTCACAGGGCTGCCCTTCTATCTGTCTGGAAGAGCCCTACAATACACAACTCTTGAATATTATTACGAATGCTTTGGTGGTCATACTAACTGTAGTAAACAAGACAACACGAATAAAATGGTAAGTGCATTTGTTCTGAACTATGTTAGCCTATTGGCATGTTCTGCTTTCTATAGTTTGGAATAAAATTAAATGGCTCCTAATCAATAACGCCCTTTGTTCTAACCAAAAACGTTATAGTTTGGGAACTCTGCAAGTTCCCCCACAAGTTTCGTCTAGCTGTCTTGCTTGTATCTCCCAATTTTTGTTCAGTTAGAAAAATTCTGAAAGACATCTGCCCCCTCGAGCCAGTTTCGGAAGCAGCTTAGCCCTCTTTCTTTGATCTGTTTCCTTCCCTTGTCAGTAATGACTTCTCCAGTTTGTTTCACAATCACCAGTTTGGGAATGGCCGTTATATTGTATTTCTTCTTCAAATCACTGGAAACAAAACACAAAGTTAAACATGCTGTTAGAAACATTTCAGGAAGCCATCAAGCATTTTTAAAGGAGTAGTCTATGCAATACAAACTGAAAACACACACACAAGGGGTGAGATTCTGTGCGGCATCTCTTAGAGGTGCAAATACAGAACTTGCAACATAGGGAAAGCTTTAGCCCTCTTTGCACCCTCAAGATTCTGGGCTGCTCTGCAGCCCTGGAGGACCTAATCTAAGTTACAGCAGTTTCCCTTGGGCTTACATTCGGGCTGCAGTACTGCTTGGAGCTTCCATAAGCACGGCTTGCTCCGGTCTCACCCCAGCATGCCGTTGGCTTACAAGAGGATCCTCAGAAGGCAGCCCTCTTCCACAGCATACAGGCACGAGGGGAATTCTCCCTTAGCCAGAACAGTAATTCTTAGGACCTGTTATGCTGCTCTGGCCCTTTTACTATTTTTGAAGTGGTTGGAACACTCAGGAGTTTTCATTCTCCAAGGTATAGTATAAATTAGCATTATACAATGATGGCTACTCCATTTCTTCTCACAAAGGGATATTAAACTGTGCCAATTCGTATTAATGAGACTTTAAATTCCTCATTGAAAAAAATTTCATAATCCTTCATCATAAGGAAAGACTGTACTCTAAAAAGTACCTAAAATTAACCCAAAGTGACAGAATCTTTCAGTTTACACAGGAATTTAAGTGATACAACGATACAGACTGATGGCCAGCTGACCAAATCTGAGGAAATTGAAATCTAGTTACTACAATGTCCTTTTAACAAAAGGACAGAAAACCTACATTTCTAATATTCAGAGACACGGCAGATGTAGGGGTCCCTATAAATATATGCATTTTCACACAGGTGTCATCAAACTCCAGGAATAAAACTAGATTTGTGTGTGGATATTTTCTGACGTGAAGGATTAACAGCCACAGTGATTAAGGCTGCCTCCCAATCCAGTTGAGGCTGGACATCCCCACCCCCTGATAAAATCAATGCTAGTTCCTTCTCCAGTGCAATTAATGTTGGTCCTCTCTTTCCCTCAATACAATCTGTATTGGCTTGGCTCTTTGCTGCTACTGGCACCTGAAGGCTCTTTGCTTTGTTTTCTTTAAAGGAGTAGCAAGGCGCCTATGAGGGAGGGAGCTGAGTTACCCAGGAGCCAATGGTTGTTTGTGGGTAGGGGAGAGCCAGGCCAGCATCAAGGCAAGGAGAGGTGGAGAAGAGACAAACTGCAGAGCAGTGCAGGAAGCCACTTACTCTGTGGAACTTGAAGCTCTGCAGAGCAGCGAGAGCAAGGGATGGTTCCACTTTGTAGAAAGAGACAAGGACGGAAGAGGGGAGCCTGCAGAGATCCTAAGCTCCACTGAGCAAAGACAGGAGATGGCAGAGACACTATGGCACTCCACAGCTCCTCAACAGCCCCATAATTTTAAATCACAAAAACGAAGACAAAAGACTGCATTACTTTGATTTAAGTTAAGGTTGCTAGTTAACGGTAAAGTTGGAACCTATATGTAACCATGGAACATCACAGTTAAAAACACATCTAAGCATTTAATGTAATGGCAATGAACAGTTAAGTGAATGGAAAGAAATACTCAAGATATCCTCATGGAGGGTACCATCACTTAAGACAACTATATGCCTGTAAAATGCCATTTTATACACTCCAGGAACAAACATTTCTGTCAGCCATCTGCCCACCTTTTTTCTGCTGAACAGGCTTATTTATCATAACCTCAAATTTCTAATCTCTGGCACGAAATGAAAATGCAACACATACTACACATGTCAACTCTCTTCTCTCCTGGATAAAATAAATACAATTAAAAACAAAGTAATATGCTGGCATGATCTGATGACAGGGTACTTTGAAGTCTGTGACCTAGATATTTACAGTGTATTGCGTAGAGGTATAGATGTGATCTCCTTCTAGATCAGGAGTGGGCAAACTTTTTGGCCTGAGGGCCACATCTGGGTACGGAAATTGTATGGCGGGCCAGGAATGCTCACGAAATTGGGGGTTGGGGTGCGGGGGGGGAGGGCTCTGGGGTGGGGCCAGAAATGTGGAGTTGAGAGTGTGGGAGGGGGCTCCAGGCTGGGAGCAAGGGGATGGGATGTGGGAGGGGTGAGAGCTCCGGCGTGGGGCCAAGGAGCTCTGGGCTGGGGCTGAAGGGTTTCGAGTGCGGGAGGGGGCTCCAGGAGGGGCCAGAGGTTGGGCGGCAGGGGGGTGAGGGTTCCGGCTAGGGGTGTCGGTTCTGGGATGAGGCTGGGAGGTTTGGGGTGCAGGAGGGTGCTCTGGGCTGGGACCGAGGGGTTCGGAGAGCAGGACGTGGATCAGGGCTAGGGCTGGGGCAGGGGCATGGGAGGAAGTCAGGGGTGCAGGCTCGAGGCTGCGCTTACCTCAAGCAGCTCCTGGAAACAGCGGCATGTCCCCACTCCGGCTCCTATGCAGAGGCGTGGCCAGGTGGCTCTACGCGCTGCCCCGTCTGCAGGCACCGCCCTGCAGTTCCAGGAAGCAGCAGTATGTCCCCCCTCCAGCTCCTATGCAGAGGTGCATGGGCAGCCAGGGAGGCTGTGCACGCTGCCCCGTCTGCAGGCGCCACCCCTGCAGCTCCCATTGGCCACAGTTGCCAGCCAATGGGAGCTGCAGAGCCGGTGCTTGGGCGGGCGGGGGTGGGCAGCATGCAGAGCCCCCTGGCTGCTCCTACGCCTAGGAGCTGGAGAGGGGACATGCCGCTGCTTCTGGGAGCCATGTGGAGTGGGGCAAGCCCCCAACCCTACTCCCTGGCAGGAGCTCAAGGACCAGATTAAAAGGTCTGACAGGCCAGACACGGCCTGTGGGCTGTAGTTTGCCCACCTGGTGTTCTAGACAGTGGGGTCTCCAATCCAAGTTGGGGAGGTGAATAAGGAAGATACAGTGAGATTTTCAACCTTCACAGAAAGGATGGTTGGGCCAGATAGGGATGTCTAACCCAAACTGGAATATCAGTGTGAGATCAGAGGTAACACAACCAATCACTTGGGGGCAGGAGCAGAACTGGGCGGGGATGAGGTGGGGGGGAAAGGCGGGAAGAAGCAGGGTGGAGGTGGGGCTTCTTCCCGCCTTTTCCTTTAACTTACCTAGTAGTAACCTAGTATTACACAATGAATATATCATTGGTGTAATACTCTACATGATTTCAGCTCTCAGAATTCACTCCAATTTAAATTTCAATTACTTGTTATGCTTAAACCCTTCTAAATGTGGTGTCTTGTGGTATTGCTAGTTTAATACAGAAACATTAAAGCTCTCTGGAACTTTTAAAGAGAAAGACCTTAATTAGCCATGTTAGAGGCAAGAACTACTTTAGTTGTAGAATCTTGATGGAAATGGTGACTTGAAACAATCAGGTCAATTAATTAACTGCAGATAATATTTCCTTTGTTTAATAAATCAGCTACTTTGAAATGCAAAACATGTTTTGATAAACTTTTAAAAATGTATCCAGCACTTTTAAAGTAGTTTTATTTAATCAAAAATTTAAATGCTGGTTTTGTGCATTAATTGAATTTGAATTTCTATTCAAATAGATCTTGACACAAATCACAAGTAAAAAATTAATCTAATATATAAGAAATGCATCATTCACCATTTTCTGGCATAATAAAATATAAAAATAAATAACCTGAATAAAAATAAATTAAGCTATACAATTGCTTAAACAAATATATATAGATGTAGTGTATCCTCTGGGCTAGCAAAAAGGAGGACCAAATTTAGCGTAAATGCTATATTCAGTTTAAATTATATGTTTTAATAGTTACCAATTAATGAGAATAAGCATTTCTTTAGGAAAATAACTACAAAAGTACAAATGCAAAACACAATTAAAATTGACTATTTAAAACAAGTTTTCCGACTTTCTGATTTAAATCATGATTAAAATTGATTATTTAAATTGCTTTATTTAAATCAATGCACCCTGTCATGATAGGAGTAAGCCAACTAATCAAAGTAACATCAAGCATCAGACTTGCAAGCTAACTTTAAAAGATCACTGCTACACTCCAGCAAACTTTACAAAATGTTACCAAAGACTTCTTTAAAAACAACACTGAAATTTTTCTGAATTTCCTTTTTCTGGCCCCGTGTAACTAAACAGGTTAGTGCAGTCACAGTTCCACTGGGTGGAAAATTGCTACAACATGGAGCAGCAAAGATATACATTTCCAATGGATTATTTTTCATGGGAAATTTTTTGTTTGTTTTTTTTGTTTAAATTGACCTGGCTACTGTGGTACCTATGTCACTTTCCTCAGCTGATATAATTAGTTTAGAACCCTGTAAAGCACACCAGTTACAATTTTTTTACCAAAATGCATTACCTTACATTTGTCTATATTGAACTTCATCATGCTCTCCAGTCACCTAGCTTGTTTATGTCTCTCTTCCACTCCTCTCACTGTTTAGCAGGCCAATGCTCAAACTACTGAGCTATCCCCTCCCCTCTTCTCTGGACTGGAATAATCTAAATAACTTTGTGTCACCTTCAAAGTTTGCTATCTCACTACTCACTCCCCTTTCCAGGCAGTTAATAAATATATAAAACAATACAGGACCAGCAGGGAAACCTTGAGGCACCCTGCTGTTAACCTTTTGCCATGATGAAAACTGATATTTTTTTCCCTAGAAACAAGGTGGGTGACCTTTTATTGCACCAACTTCTGGGATGATAGGTAGATGAGCGAGACAAGCTAACTACACAGAGCTCTTCTTCAGGAGTCCTGGTACAACTGGAGTGCTAGAGCATCTACTCTTGTTCTCAAAAAGAAAAGGAGTACTTGTGGCACCTTAGAGACTAACCAATTTATTTGAGCATGAGCTTTCGTGAGCTACAGCTCACCTCATCAGATGTATACCGTGGAAACTGCAACAGACTTTATATTTAGACTTCAGTTTAGATGAGCTATTACCAGCAGGAGAGTGAGTTTGTGTGTGTATGGGGGTGGGGGGGATGTGAGAAAACCTGGATCTATGCAGGAAATAGCCCAACTTGGTTATGTAAAGAGTTGTCACTTTGGCTGGGCTAGCACCAGCAGGAGAGTGAATTTGTGTGGGGGGGTGGAGGGTGAGAAAACCTGGATTTGTGCTGGAAATGGCCCACCTGATGATCACTTTAGATAAGCTATTACCAGCAGGACAGTGGGGTGGGAGGGGGTATTGTTTCATATTCTCTGTGTGTATATAAAGTCTGCTGCAGTTTCCACGGTATACATCTGATGAAGTGAGCTGTAGCTCACGAAAGCTCATGCTCAAATAAATTGGTTAGTCTCTAAGGTGCCACAAGTACTCCTTTTCTTTTTGGGAATACAGACTAACACGGCTGTTCCTCTGAAACCTACTCTTGTTCTCTATTTATGTGGAAGAATTGGGGGACAAAAGCAAACACTGGCCCGATCCAGCAGGATCCAGGTTTTGGATCTGGTGCTGGGGTGCCAGAGTGTAGTATGGTCTGGGTTTCATCGGTGCAAGTCAGAACAGGGACAGTTCTTCTAGAGTTCCACCTTAGAATTTGGGGAATTGGGGCCCAAGACTGGCTGGGATCCCGCAGGACCCAGGTGCCCGCTCTGGGGGTTTGCAGCAGGGGCGCCACCAGACTGTGCCGGGGTCTAGGTGCTTTGGGCGCTAGAGGCCCTTACACGTTCAGCCAGCGGAACTCGGGAGGCTGGGTGCAAACTTGGCACGTTCTAGCTTGGATTTAAACCCAGCCCGAAGCACCTGCGGTCTAGGGAATAGCAACGGCTCTGGTCCTGGCCATCCCACCCCCGGATCGCGTAGCTCCCCCAGAGCAGGGGGCTCCCAGCTTGCGGGTACCAGGCTGCTGCTGCTAACCTCCACGCGGCCTCTCGCCCCCCCCCCCCGCACTCACTGCTTGTAGGGGTCGTGGAAGGGCAGCGCCAGCCAGTCCCCGTGCATGTCGTGCATGTACTCGGCCATCTCCTCGGGGCTGCGGTCGGACGAGACGAAGACGATCTCGAACGGGGCCGGCGGGCGGGCGCCCTCCAGCAGCTCGCTGTAGAAGTCGCACAGGACGGGGGTGAAGTCCCGGCACGGGGAGCACCAGCCGGCCGAGAAGTACAAGCCCACGATCTTGTTCTGCAAAACCTCCTCGGGATCCACGGCGTGCCCGTCCCGGGTGAGCAGGGGCCGCCCGCTGAACACGTCCACCATCCTGCCCCCGGAGCGCGGCGCCGGCCGGGGGGGGGCGGGGCAGTCCTGCCCCTTAGCGAGGGGCAGGGCGCACGGCTAGGGCGGGCAACACTCCGCTCGCAGGGGCGAGGGCTTGGCTACGGCACGCGGGGGGCGTAGGCAGATTCCTTCCCGAGTGCCCGCGCCCGCATCTCCCCGCCCAGGCACCGGCGGGGGGACTCGGCTCTGCACGGAAGGCGCCTGCCCGGTCCCTGTCCGCTCGCTTCTTCCCTGCTGCCGCCGGCCGGCCGGCCCCCTCCGAGCGCCTCAGGGCTAGTAAGGGAGAGAGGAGAGAGAGCGCGCGTTGTTATCTGGCACCCGAGCGCGGGCGGGCCCCAGCCCTTCCCCCGGGGCGCAGGGAAGCGGGCCCAGAATGGTTTCGTCAGGAACCTGCCCCGCTCGGAAGCGCGCGCACAGCCCCGGCCCGGCAGAAGCCGTCACGGTCCCCGCGCAGCTCAGGCACAGAGCGAGAGCGGGAAGCACCAGACCCTGCCAGCCGCTGGCGGGACTCACGCTCCAGGCTCCGCCCTGGCTCGGCCTTTGGGGTCCAACAGGATTAAAAGCTGAACCGGCATAGAATCCTAGACTATCAGGGCTGGAAGGGACCTCAGGAGGTCATCTAGTCCAACCCCCTGCTCAAAGCAGGGCCAATCCCCAATTTTTGCCCCAGATCCCTAAATGGCCCCCTCAAGGATTGAACTCACAACCCTGGGTTTAGCACATCTCAGTGAGAGAAAAAAAAAAAAACAACTCACCCTCCTGCAAAATCTCATTTCTTCTCCGCGCTCAGCACGGGAGGGGCTGGCTGCACCCCTGCGCTGGCGGCCCTGGAGTCACAGCTGCGGCGCCTGCAGCTCCCCTCCTTCCCCCTCTTCCCTTGAGCTCCCCCGCCCCGCAACTGCCCTTAGAAACACTGGGCTCCTGCCCCTGACTGACAGCAACATTTGCCAGCCGCTGCTGCTGACCGACACCCGGCGCTCTCACACACACTGCTCTGGGCTCCCTTTCCCTTTTAGGGAAGACTATTTACAAATCCCAGGTTTCAGAGTCGCAGCCGGGTTAGTCTATATTCGCAAAAAGAAAAGGAGGACTTGGGGCACCTTAGAGACTAACCAATTTATCTGAGCATAAGCTTTCCTGAGCTACAGCTCACTTCATCAGATGCATGCAGTGGAAAACATCAGATGAAGAGGGCTGTAGCTCACAAAAGCTTACGCTCAAATAAATTTGGTAGTCTCTAAGGTGCCACAAGTCCTCCTGGTCTTTTTACAAATCCAAGTCACTCTGGAAACAGAAAAGGTCCCCTTTTAAAGCACAGCCCTCTTCAAATTCCATTGTAATGCCCCTATATTTCTTATTCACTCACCTGATAAACCAAAACCCCTAGACAAAACTTTGTCAGAAGAGGAACGAGCAGTTTCTGGATGCCGTTTGGTGCTAGAATAACTTTCAAACAGTGTATGGCTTGTGTTTCCTTAGAACTTCAAATTTTTCCTAGATCCACCCCCTCATTCCGTACTAAGGAACGGATGGTCTATGCGAGAGCCATGGAGAAGTTTGTGCATGCCAATTCTAGATGTGTGCATGCAAATCAGGTACTTACACATGGCCAGTCAGCTGACCATACACGTGCAAATACCTGATTTTGCAACACCCACCTCTAGTACTTGTGTGCATACACCTACATTTGAGCATCTGTCCCTAAACACCTTAACATTTGAGAACACTTTGGAAACATGTTCAATGTCTGAAAAATGTGCATCATGCTATTTTCTTCTAGTTTTATTATTATTATTATTATTATTATTAATGAAAGAGGGGGCTCGGGATCACATGTGCACACCTGGATCATCTCACATTTAAACAACATTCAGTTATGACATATCCCAGTTTTGAATCCCACATCAGACAGTCAAATACAAACTAGAGAAGAGGTGCCTATACTGAGAGGAGTAACTTTGCATCCAATCCAGGGTGCCTGTTCAAGCTGCACCTTTCAAATACCCATTCTTTTATTAGACTTTTACATCAATGTCCAGTCAATCACTCTCTTTTCTTCCCCCCAACCAAAGACAAAATGGAAGTTATGCCCCAAAGTTTCAATACTGAATGGGTGCCTAAAGTTAGGTGGCTAATTCTGGATTTGGGCACCTAAGCAAAAATGGCCTGATTTTGGTGAAAAGCAACCTGGTAAAACAAACACCTTAATAGGAACTGGAGGTGCTCAGTACCTTTGAAAAGCAGGCCACTTTTGTTTAGATGCCCAAATATGGAGGTGGGAGGCTAACTTTAGATCTCCAACACCTGACAACTTAGGCTCTAATTCCTAAAATTATATTAACAGTACACCATATTAAGTGTGACGTTTAATACATACAAAATTTAGTTTGGGGATTGGTCCTGCTTTGAGCAGGGGGTTGGACTAGATGACCTCCTGAGGTCCCTTCCAACCCCGATAGTCTATGATTCTATGAAAAGGAAATCAAAAGTTCTGGATCTCACAGGAAAGGTAATGCATAAAAATAAACACCATAAGTAGGAATACAACATATCATAGTGGCCACAACTGCAGTCTTGCCTTTTCAAACAGATAACATTCTCACAACACTCCCCTATGATGGAAATGCTGTGGGGATGTTGTCTTTGCACATCTGTGCATATCAGATTTAGATTAAATCTCAGGAAAAACTTCCAAACTATAAGAACAGTAGGACAATAGAACAGACTGCCTAGGGAGGTTGTGGAAGCTACTTCACTGGAAGTTCTAGGGTGACCAGACAGCAAGTGTGAAAAATCTGGATGGGGGTTTGGGGGCGGGTAACAGGCACCTATATAAGGCAAAGCCCCAAATATCGGGACTGTCCCTATAAAATCAGGACATCTGGTCACCCTAGGAGGTCCTCAAAAGGAGGCTGGATGATAGCCATCTGTCTTGGCTGGTTTAGACACAACAGATCCTGCATCTTGGCAGGGGGTTAGACTAGATGTGGTCTCTTCTAAGCCTTTGAATCTATAAGGGGGCTGAGCAGCAATTGCTAAATTTCTGCCATTTTCACATCCAAAATCTCAGCTGTTTTTCATTGAGTGTTTTTGCATTTTGCATTTATAAATTTACAACAATAGCTTTACTGATGTGATTTCTCCTCCCTAGCACAACAGTGTGTATCAAGGAAGTAGTTAGAATGACTGTCTAGTGTTATCGCCATTGCATCACTTCCTACCCTAGGGAGCACAGATGGATTTATTCAGTATTCTTTTGGTTTGACTGTAATAGCTGTTTTGTTATTATTGTTAAATTTTCAGACGCAGGATGAATCTGTTTTCCAAAATAAAAAAAAAAACTTTTTGGATTCTAGGAGGTAATATTTTCTAAGAAGGACCTTGGCCAAGTTAAATAATTTTAAAACAAAGATTCTTTAGGGGCCCAATCATGTGGGAGAAAACGTGATAGATAATTTCTGTTTACTCTAAAGTGAAGAGATGGGTTTGCAGGGTATTCTTTTAACACAGGTTTTTAAAGTGAATTTATTGGGAAGAGGTGAGATGTATGTTTTTGTTTTTATCCTGCTAAAACAGACAAATAAGATTAATAGATAAGCAACAATGAAATCAGGATGGACATACCATACATACAAAATCAGGAGGTTACCTCAAGGACAGCCAAGTATTGGGGTCACTGAAATATTTAGGGACTATTTACTGTGAAGGTTATACATTTTCTAGTTTGTATAGGACACCAAAAACTCTCAAGCCAGTACTGAATACTTAGATAAATAATTGAGGTTGTGTGTGTTTATGGAAGGTTTATGCTAAACAATACAAACCACACACTGAAGTGCAAGCTGTTTTGTTTCCCCTCTTGTAAAATATACAGAAAGCCTTTATACAGTGAATGTTTTGATTATACTATTTGGATATCATCCAACAAATTAATGCCTGATGTAAACTGTACAATTATTCCACAGCTTGCACATCTCAATCTTTTTCTCAGTCTCTTTGTTTGATCATTCTGTAAATGGACATCATACTCTTTCAGATGCTTGATTTACCAATTATTTTTTAAAAAGAATTAGGACTCAGTCCTGACCTGGCTGCTCAGCCACTCTCCCTAACACCCACTATGGCTGTAGCAAGTGCTCGCGCTCTCTCTCTCTCTCTCTCTTTTTCTCATTCAGTTGACCCTAACCCTAACCCAGCCCAAGACTCAGCTATTACTAAACTGAAAGTCTCTCCGAATGTGGGGTAGAAATGTTTTCAGGCTCAGTATAATACCATTGCTTTAAAGTATATCCTGATTACATAAATTGTAAGCTCTTTGGGGCAGGTGCTTTCTTTTTGTTCTGTGTTTGTACAGCGCCTAGCACAATGGGGTTCTATTAAATAACAGATTCTATATATGCAGAAAATGGATCACTCTTTACACAGTTTGCATGTGGAAAAAGAGGTATTCTTGGAACAAAAATGAGACTATTATATGCTTGGGCTGAATAATGGGTCAGTTGTTCCTGCTGATCCTAACATATGAATCAAAAGATCATCAATATACATTTCCAGCACCACATTTTGAGAACTAAGCAATTATATCTTGACTGTGGACACTTCTAATTTGTTCTGCTCAATGTAGTACAACCTACATATGAGACATCAAAGTAAAAATCTGCTACAGCATGATCCTGACTTCTAAAATTGAATGAAATATGATAATTTAATTATTCTGATTGACTCATAAAATACATCATCTCAATTCTGTGAACATTTCAGAGGCTCTCACACAAATGAACCTGATCACAAGTTAGATTAAAATAAAGATAATTGACCTAAGTGTACCTCATTCTACAAAAAGCAGGTACGATCATATCATGTATAATGGATATCATAACTATTACAGAAACTTTACACATGGAAAAGACAACTTCATTTCAAGTTTTCCCCTCTATTGTTTGTTCTTTCCCTTTTTGGGGGTCTGTGTCCGACATGTTATAAAGTTTAGGTCACATTTGATTTATTGGAAGATTGAGAGCTATGCCCAATGAATATCAGGTACAGATTTAAACATTCGAAAAACATAGCGTCACCTATAATAAGATGGAACACAGTCCGTAGTAATAGAACATGCATTTTCTAGAGATTTTTAGACATCTAGAGCCAATTTCTGGGTACCAACTATACAGTCTGAGCTATATAAACCACAAAGCTAGATATCTATTGAAGAGCAAATATAGTTTATAGTCCAGTAGAACCTCAGAGTTACAAACTGATCTGTCAACCACACACTCATTTGGAATTGGAAGTACACAATCAGGCAGCAGAGACCAAAAAAAAAGAAAAAAAAAAAAGAAGCAGCAAATACCGTACACAACAGTACTGTGTTAAATGTAAACTACTGAAAAAAGGGAAAGTTTAAAAAGATTTGACAAAGTAAGGAAACTGTTTCTATGCTT